GAATTATACGTCCTGCATGTGTCTAATGATGAATGATGAGACACACATGTCAGTCCGTATCTATTGAGGTAGACCTCATTACTTCAGCTAGTGTAAACGTTTACCTCGTCTACAACTACTGCAGAAAACTACGACTTGGTAATAAGGTTAACCCTCAATTCTTATTTAAAGCCTCTTTGGGACATGCCGCCTGCAAATTACGTCTGAACTTGTTAAACTGAGGGTCTAATCATACTAACGCGGCCATGATGATTTATCGCACAAAATTTAGCTAATTGTCGCCATCAATAGTGGGCCGTTCCAGTGCTACATTTATTACAATGTCGCTAACTACATCTCGAACTAAACACTGACATTGATAGCGTCGCCTTGGTCAGAGGTTGTGACGTCCAATGTTTTGATGTGGCTCGTTACTCGCGCTGTTTAGCAGTACTGCAGTAATTGGTTCTCGGTTACGTGAATTATGTAAGGCTATAGGTACAATGTAATTTCATGTGCGCCTTGTAATGCTCAGACAAACGTGTAAAGTTATATTATGTGCTTGCAAATGTCATGGTTAAACGAACTCCGCGCGGCTAATTATGACATCCTGCGTCGTGGCGCGACAGACACTGAGCCTACACACTGCACACATCCACTGAACGAGACGAATTGTTCGCCTCGCTGTACTGGTCACATGTAAAAAGTAAAAGTAAGCTCAGACAAGATGTGTGAACATAGAGACATCATCAAGCAGCATGCGGTCCAATATAATGTTCTATTTTTGTGTCACGAACTGTTACAACATTTTTTATTCGATGAAATATTTAGCTCGGCTCTCAGCGTTCTGTTTTTTGCAAACGTATGTGTGAGAGAGAGGGATTGCGAAAGTCCCGTACACTTTCACCTGGCGGGCGACAGACGTCAATCAAGCTCGGCCTCCTTGCGCACACGCAGCGATCTAGAACATAGATCATCGTAGCACCGATCATCCAACATCTAGACTGCACTCAAACATAGATCGGTAACATCTCACATACATCATGTAGTAATCTCAAGCATTGTTTAAATCTGACAATATGATTACATTCGACAGTCTGACCCAGCTCATAGCACGCGATATTACACTATAACTGTTCATTGAATCAAACCCCACTTTCACGATGCAAGACATCAAAACTCATACAGCCGAAAGTGATGTGGGTATCGGAATTGATACGACAAGTTAATCAGAGAGACACACATCTAGTAACAAATTGGAGATCACGTGCGGGTAGCGGGTACTGGCCGGTGGAACATATGTAAATGTGGATTATCCCGAGTGAGGCAAAGTTATGCGGCCGCGGAGCCGCGACCCAAACTTAATTGAGTTACCTTTGTTCAAAACAGAACTATTGTCTCTGACGGCTTATTTAGCTGAAATAATGTCTAAACTACAGTTTCAAACAGACAATAAAGCAATAACATGGAATAAATATGCAAATCAAAGTATTGCACTGTCTGCTGAATTTATCTGAATATTGAAATGGTTTTTGCGACTACATTCTGTAGGTTTGCTATAGGACTTGACTTGGCCTTGAGGTATAAGCAGCGGTAGTAGTGATTATGTTAAATAGATGTGGCGAGACAACAATGAGACCAGTGCAAGTATGTCGGCGGGTCACGGGCAGCCCGGGGCGGAGCCGCAGGGTTTCGGCCTGGCCTGGTAACCGAAGACAGTGACTGTAAAACTCCATGTTCGACGGACGCAGCCGTACCAAGCAAACACGTCTCGTCACACTAATGAAACTATGACTAAGTAACACCTAGTTACACAGCGCAGAGTACTTTATACAGTACGCAAGCAGTCACAGATACTGGTATAAGCATTAAGCAGGTCACTAATACTTTGTAATCTGCAGCAAGCTACTAGGCGACGCGTAGAGCGGCGACCTTCTGATGGCAAAAAACAATCTCGTTCGTCGGCAGTGGGCAGCTGACCGGTGCGCGGCGCGCGGTGCCGGAGTGTGCGGTCAAGTTCATGATAACGCACTCCGGCACTGAAATGCGATGAAATGCGGTGATACACCGCAATGTGGATTATATTTCGTTCTAGTAACTGTTCACCAATGTCATGTCGTGAACTTGCCCGCGATTACTATATGATTCCTTGTGACTCGGGCTGAGTGTGGGAAAATCATATAATTGTATGTAGTACCTACTCAGTAGATTTTACGGGCAATGTAATACCTCGTATTGTACATTAACACGTTTATGTAAAGTGATCATTTTCCATTGCTTCCCGATCGCTTAACCACAGACTGAGGTGCTCCAAAAACATCGATATTTCAAGATGAATCCGATGGTGTCAGTGTGACAAGTAAAAGTATGCCATAATGAATCAGTGAGTGCGCGTGAGTCAATGAGTAACGGACCATGCGCGCGCGCAACGCGATCTTATCAAATAAGATATGCGCACAATATTACTGATGTGAACACGAGTTATCGATTCTGAAATATCATCGGCAAACTGAAAGCTGATAGAGCGGGCTGCTGGAGCATCAATGTAATCAGGAACCAGTGAGAGGAATAAGGGATTCAAATAACCTGGATTATTGGCGGGTGGTTAGGAAACAGAACGTTCATGTAAACTGGCAGTTAGAAGTAAGTGCAACGAAGTCATTGAACGTAAATTAGTAAAATTAGCGTTCAATGATGTTGTATGAAGCAAAGATCCTACTCATTGTGGTTGATTAAGCCATCGCATCGCCTGCGCCCGTCGCCGATGTTATCCGATAAAGTGTGAAAGGTCTAAGTAACGGTAGTTAACAATGCGCAGGCGCACCGCGCGCCCGGCAGCCGGCAGCCGGACTACAATGGCGCGATGCCATCTAGCAGTACTATACTTCCGAGGATCATAGTAATTAATTCTTCGAGCAATTATCCACTTTTAATAGCACTAAATTACGACTTATTTTTTGTTGCGCTACAAATTGTTTTACATCTCTTATCTACCATTAACCGCTGTTTATTATTCGAAATACTATGAATGGAGACACGTAACTACTGAATTGTAATTCCGCTGGTAGTTTGCGCATTTTGTAACACGACATTTTTCGTCCATCGCTGCATGTTTACGTAATTACAATTCAAAGGTCACTGAAAACCCGCAATGGATCGTGACTTGACAGCTTCGTGTTCTAAGTTCTGTGTCAGGAAGTGAAGTAAAGTTCAGGAAAGTATTTAAGTATTACAGCTGAGACTGCGGCTATCGTCCATCGTGATCACAAGGAAAATGTTGCACAATCAATTGTTTACTCAAACATTAAAGTACCACAATGCACTCACATTTCACCGCTCATGTACCCGTGGTTGGGTTTCTCAGATAGTCAACACTAGCAAGCAGCGGAGTAATGATGAAGAACAAGCACTACGAGCGAAGTAACTGAATGAATAACTGGAAATGGGAAAATGAAGTGTCAAGAAAACCGAGAGTAAGTTCGTCGCTATGATTAAATTTGTTACATACCATACTACATAATATAGAACTCGTATTCACAAAAGTAATTTTTTGTTCGAACCATAGTTACTCTATTTCCTTATCAGAGCAGTACACTATAATGCAGTCAGTGAAATATTTATATAACGTCTAGCCCGCGAATGCAGAGACTACGTATAGAGAGCGATACGACACGGCGACGACACGGTGACGCGACCCTTTAACTAACATCAGACAAACAGATTGCTCGGAGATAACGAACGTCTATTGATCAGCAGTCGGTGCTCATTGTCACGCTTCATCTGTCTGTACTAAGGCTGGGCAGAGCTGTATGATTAATGATACAAACAACATGTTGAATGTCTTGCTCAATAAACACGAAACCATTTATTAATACGTAATCTAGGCTAAATACAAACAACTAATTAATTAAATGTCCGGTTAAGTTATTTGGCTATTTCATAACGAGCCACTCCAGGCATTATATGATGCGCAGGCGCACGCACCTACAATAACACTATTGTGCATCGCTGGCCGCATACATAGTGCTACAAAGATATCATCAAAATACTGTTAAAACAGACGTTATACGGATTAACATAGAGTACATTTTTATATAACGTCCCTTTTTGTAATTGTTGCGATTTTGATAATTGCACTGCATGTGCATAAGGCACATCACAGATTTTTCGCAATATCAGTTTACAGCATGTACTGTACATGTGCTGCTCGATATTATGGAAGTGCTCAATTAGTTGGCAACTTGATGTTATCTACAAATTACACAAAAGAGACAGAAATGTTGTCTGTGTGCGCATGCGTGCCAACAAATAGGTGAAGATGTCCAAACGAGAGCTACAAAGTATCCTTGAAGTGGAGACAATTAGTGTGTGGTATGTAAATAGCTGCGAGTTTACTATTAGTGGCAGCATACATCGTCCGGCTATTGTCACCCGCGGAATTTTATGCACAACAACACTCTGGACCCATTGTCCACGCTAGTGAAAGTGTATGCGCCGCAATTGCGTCACTGCATCTGCTGCCCACTGCCTGCTGCCTGCTGCCTGCCGTCGGCTGTTATTTTGTAACCTGACAGAATCTACCAAATTTTCAAGATGGACCCAACACCAACTCATCATGAAGGCCCTACAAGACATAGAACTCGTGCATGAGAATGAATAGAATGTATTCGTAGCACAATACGTTACGTAGCACAATTGTGAAATTAGTTTCCAAAGTGTGCTAGCTGTGGTCCGCCAGTAAGTACTACATGTGACTACAGCACTGGTATGTTTGGAGTAACTAGTCAAAACATCGGCCACTGCACGCGCTGTCTGTCTGCACTCGACATCTCTCTACTTTTCTAATTGTATGCTAAAATTTAGTGCAATTTTGATATTTGATAGTCGCAATTTAATTGTATTGCACGTCAATAAATAGTCGACAATATTTTATTGATGCTTCTTAAAACTTGTTAGTTTCTTTGAAAAAACATATATATTATGCTTACACAATATACTGAGAAACCATATTCAGTCGTTATTTACTTCCAAAAAGTCCTTCTTAGTCTAGGCTGTGTTTTATGACATTTCGTGAAATCGAACAAGGTCTTTAAATACAGACTCATCTTATTTTCGCCGAAAGTCTGACGACGCGTCAACCTTAACAAGTTAACACATCTACGTATGTACCTAATGCAGGTAAGTACAGACCAGCATATGAAGCTATACCACTTTAAGTCAGTTATAAGTTAATAATATTGAAAATTCATTGATTAATTAAACTTTACATATTAGCATGACGTGATGTGCTGTTGTCTGCACGTAACGTACATACAACATACATATATTATGTTGGCAGATATCGTTGGGAAACTCTGGACAGCCGGCAAGTCCTCGGCCACAATACACGAACAAGAACATTTCATAAAACAGTTTCCACTTTCGACGCACACTCGATTTGAATAACGAAACTGAATGAAGGTAATGAATGCGGCGACACGTGCAGGTGCCGGGCGCCGGGCGCCGCATACCGATGCGATGCCTGCCTCCCACCCAGTCACCAGCCACCAGCCACCTGCTGTACTACTGGTCAGAAGACCTCGACAGCGTCTGCTTCCTACTATGACGCTGGGAATTCCGAATTGCTAAAAACTTGGCAAACGAACCCACTACATTAAAATGTAAGGATTTTTATGTTTACTCTTAAACCATAATAAACTACCACAAATGTCCTCTTCTTTGTAATTTTGTATTTCTCAATTAGTGCTGAGGGACGTGACCACACCTCCGTACCATTTTCTCTTGTCTAAAAATGTGTGTATGAAGTTCTTCTTTCAAAACTCTTTACCTAGTAACGATAGATAGATAACAAGGCGGACAATTAGTAAGATTTGATGAATAAATCGTTCTCTGTTTGTTCATACATTTACAATACATGCTGATGTTATTATAAATGTTGACAAACATTTGCAACCTGCGATACGTTAACTAATTGTTGTTTCGTAGAGATCAGTCAGATATGACAACTTTAAATCTCTTTTAGTACTCGTATTTGTACTAAACACTACAATGCATTACGTTTATTTGCTTTCATTGTTTCTTTAAAGTTTATTTACCATTCACAAACTAATATTAAACTATAATAACTCAGTATTCATTGGTATTATTAGATGTTACTTTAAAAACAATGATAAAGATGCAATGTAATATAAACTAAACGTGTTTATCTAAATAATATAAAAAGTTATCTCAAGTTACAAACTGAAAACTTCGCACGTTCATCAGTTACTGTGGAGGAACCTTCCCAGTATCTTCAATAGAACGTGCACTATCTACATTCTACCAGTATAATCTACTCTATATCATATTACTATGTCTTTCTACCTTCTCAAACAGACAGCATACCACGGCCGTGAAAGTATAAAAATCGGTATGTAAATGACAAGTCGTATCAATTATCTAAGTAAATACGATCATAATAAAACACGTAAGGATTATAAAAAACGTAACTGTTTAAAATTACAAAGAAATCCTTACAAAAACTGTTTATACTTGAGAGATAGCTTTGAACAATAGTCTTCACGTAATATTTTTAGCTATATACATTTAATTTGATCTATTGGAACATTATAGGATAATTATGAATATTTGTACAGATTCAGTGACATGACAGTGTAGCGCTAATTAATACTTTCACATGTCAACGTCATTAGTTCCAGTGAACAGTAACTAGCTCCTCACAGCTTGTGACAACATTTTGTTAATTAGCTGAAAGTTACATCACATACATATTATTTTTTTCATGGCTCACGTTTCGCTTTTAAAGGATTACATAAATAGACAAGATAGAATTGAATGACACTAATAGTGATATGCAGTACGGTACAATAAACTTAGTAAATGGTTACGATTGCTTGAACACTGTCTTTGCCTAAAGATAACGTATTACTGATTTTTTGCATAAAATGCAAATGGTAACGATGCTATTCACCTCTTAAAACTTCACATCGTAATCTCGGGTCACGTTATCTCTGTGAGAAAGGATCAACATGGGCGGAACATAAAAAAGATGCTTAATTGAATTTCGCATTCCTGTGCCGGCCGTCCCGGACAGGTATGTGATGCTACTGATACCGGCATTTGTGGGGACTGCCGCATTGTGCACTCTCGCTACAAAATAAACTATAACTTTTGATCAGAAAATATCAAGTCTGCTTGTTCTTTAAGTACGTAAGTACATAAATCATTCTATGTGTATCTATTATAAAGCGCGTCTCTCGTAGAACAAACGGACTAGTTACAGAATTTATTTAATAAGTTGCCTCTGTGCTACATTTTTAATTACTGATTGCAGTTGTTGCATTTGCAAGAGGCCTGTGCAATACGCTAACTATATCACTTCTGACATTATTTCAAAACTGCGCACGAGTGCAGTATGGTGGCGGCCGCGCCGGCGCCCGCGTCGCCGCGCGTCGTGCTGCTTGCTAGTGAGGAGCTCGGCTTTATGTAAATGAAATGTAAGCTCGTGTTATCATGTTCTCATCGTGTCCGGTGCATTGTTGCCATGCGCACATCGCACACAACTGCTAATTGCGATTCCCAGCGCAGGGCGCGGCGCCGGACCGGCGTGCAGCCGCGCGACTAGCGCCGCCGCTTGCGACACCCGCGCGACTGCCGCCGCTGCCGGCGCTGCTCAGCATACACGGCACACCAGTTATTAACATGGATTATTCGCGATTCACGAGGCGCGCCAACAATTATGTTGCGCAAGTATCCGCATTCAAACTTTAATATTCGTCGCATGTCACTCGCTGCTACTTTAATTCAACTGTTTTAATTGCATAAGCTGTATATAGACATTTAATACGCATGAATGACGCTCCTTTTTTCAAACTAGTTCTAGTAATATCGCTACGTTGTCTCATCTGCATACAATTGAAAAATCAAGTTACCAGCCAACAACGTTGTCGGTATGATTATGATGTGTACCTGGGCCGGTGTGCATGCTAACAGCTACGTACCTCTATCGTAACCTACATTCAGATATACGAGTAACTAGTTATAATCGAAGAACAAGTGACCCGAGAACACAATATGTATGTGCAACGTCCTAGTATACAATATGGTCGCGCGTCGGCGCGTCTTATAAACCGCGCGGCTAGCTCCGGCCCGGGCCGGCACCGGCGGCGTGAGCTCCAAGGAGAGCCAGCGTGACTCACGTCGAGTGTATGATGATACAACAGGTTATTGCATTCTTTGCAAAAATAAAAGTATCCGAGGTCATTGCGTCACCTATTAAAATTCCGTATGTAGTGTGATATCGAGCAGCCTTCGATGGAAGATCGACGTAATGATGAGCGCAGTAATTGCGCAGCCGACACCAGCAGCTGCAGGCACACAGCACTGACTACACCGGTACAAGCACACTACTCTCCTCTATTAATATATTCGATTCCAACACTATTTCTGTGTGCAAAACATACAACGTAAAATAAAAGAATTCAAAGCACCATCCTAATAATAAGTTCAGCCGAATTAACACGATGCGCACAATTGTGAGTAAAATATTTATGTTTGTATAGAAAGTAGTCGCATCAGCTCGCCTGGCACCAAAAGGACTACTCCAGTAAGTAAGCACTGAATGTACCGCGGTGACTCAGTGAGCAAGTAAGCAGTGATTCACCTCTTCGACTGTTATTGAAATTTCGTGACCTTTCATTGCGTCTGTATTGAGACACTAAAACAAATATTTAGTCCATACAATACAAACGATACATCGAAACTGGCCATGCACTGGTTGTACTACCGCAGGCAGAATAAAACCGATCTGATCATTCAATAAATCAAAACGAATCTCTGAGGATGTCTGTTATTACAATTTTCCGGAGGGAAAACACCGGCTCGAGGTAAAATGGAAAGTATGGAGAAAAGTGAGGCTCGCGGCCTCGCAGGAGCAGCAGGGTACTCACCGGGTCATGTTGTTGTTGATGGTCGCGACTGGAGGTAGATCGAGCGTGTTATGTTTCACAGCACAGACACGTATTCGTAATGGCGTTCAGCGCGCGGCCGCCATGCCGTCCGTCCGCGGCGAGGGTTAGGACGCGAGTGGTGTGGGTGGCGGCGGCGGCAGGCACGCGCGCCCGGCGACGCCCGCCGCCGCGCCACGCCACGGCCACGCCGGCCCGCCGCGTGCTGCCCGCCGCGCGCTGCCCGCCGCCAACAACTGCACTCCACTGCCAATAACGCGTGTACTACTCGTGTTGCCCGCTGCGGCTGCAGCCTACTTTATGTTTTATCGTAACTACCATGAAATCTGTTTATCGTTCACATGGCTGGAATTGTAATGCATTCAAAGCTAGTTAACAACTTGTTACAGCAATTAAAGTTGCCGGCACTAACTACCTGCTGGGATCCTCAACATTATGTATGCCAACATGCTGCCAATTGAAAGGAGGAAGAAAGTTAAGCACATACATGTATTATTCCAACGAACACTATGCGCTAAGTTGTTCCAGAACAGCGAGGCAGTAGAACTGGAGTAAAGTTCACAATTAATTCAGCTACTCGATTATCTGAATCCGTCCAGACACTGATTCCCTAGTCCGCCTAGTTTGGCATATAACCACAAATTAAGGAACTTTAATAAAACTTTAATCTGTTGTAATTTAAGAGTCAGTTCATTTGAATCAATCATGACTTCCTTCCTATAACTTATGCAGTTAAATTATAAGTTCTGCAGACGGTCACAATCACAGTAGACTGTGAAGTAGCACTCAGATACTAGACACCATATGCACATGTCGAGTTAATTGAATTTTGTTCTGTAATCATGTTCGTAGTAAATGAAAATTAGACACAACGTATGGAGGATATCATTACGCAATGAAATAAATTTTATATTTATTGCACAATCAAATGCATTTTAATATTACGATTATAACTATCATTCTGTAATTAAATATTATTTATTCCTGTATTTATACATGTACTTGCCATCAACGTACTACTCTTCTTCTACTCAATAACTTATCGCCTTTTGTATTTAAAAATGGTAGGCAGTTATGCACATAGTAAGTAATTCTCACTTATTGCCAGTTATGTTATGAGTCCCATGTTAAAAGAAGTAAACCTATTACTACTGACTACTGACACCATTTCTGGTGGCATGTTACTTAATTACTCATTCCCGACACGTAAACAAGCCATGAAATACTTTACCCACCCAGAAATCAGACACCAGATCTATGTGTTAAGAGGAAAATAAATGATATATAATTATAAATGACAAATGTACATTATACAAATTTTTGTATGCAAACGCATCAATGTCAGCCCACAGTTCGTACGCTGAGCGTGGTGGGTGACGCGCACGCGCACTGAGGCGTGCCGCCCAATGGGCCAGAACGCCACTCCGTGTGCATCGTACTGTCAGCACTAATGTGGAAGGTAATTGTTACTATTACTACTTCTAGCTACTCATTGTTTGGTACGACAACATCAACGAATACATTATATTGTTATTGTTTAGT